GTACACCACCCAGGGCAGAAATGAAGCCATGGTTCCTTCCCTACATTAGAAACTAGTAAGTTCTCTCTCCTCTGTGTGAAGACATTCATGTTGACATACAGACTAAGTGAAACACCAGGAGGGTGGTGGTGGGGAGGGGAGGGTGCTCAGAGCACGAGTGAATAGTTCTCTAGCTTTAGCTTTATTTTAGTACCTTGGGCAAGTTACAGACTTTCAGAGCTTCTCTCTTATTCCCTATCTGAAAATAAAAGACCTAACTGTCTTTCTCCTTTAAAAACTATGTTCAGGAACTGATTTTACAGTCAGTGTAAATTTTATTTTATTTTTATTTGCATAGGAGAACTGGGGTGTAGGTCAGAGATACAGTGGATAAGAGGACTTAGCAGAGACAGAGTGGGGAGCAGAACAAACAGATCTACTGAAATACACTGCTAATGGGAGCAGCAGCCTGGACAGGAGATGTCTGATGTGCCATTTGTGGGTTAGCTCCCTGGCTGGGGATGGAACTTAGGCAGTAGAAGTGACAGAGCGAAGACTTGACACCTAGGCCACCAGGGAGGCCCCTTTATTACGTTTGAACTATTTCCTGTAAAGTCATAGTTCTACTTTACTACTATGGAAGTGGAATAGAATTGTTTCAGGCTAGCCAAGAAGCTTTTTCTAAAAATTATGTTTTATCTTTACCTTTGTAAGAATACAGTTTAGTCACTATTATTATAGCAGCATTCCCTTTTCCTACTGAATCCTCTAAGTAAAATAAAATAAAATGTTACTTTTACAAATGAATCTTGTGGTATCTTGAAATAACTGTCAACTTGAAAGCAATGGGTATGTGCAGATAGAAAACACAGAGTTGACTGTGAACAATGTGGTTCGGTATCCTTGGTGATACAAAGATAAGGATGTGATATCTGTCTCTTGGAATAAATAATTTAGCGGGACGGGTTCATAAATAATTCTATTGGGCCTCCCTGGTGGAGCAGCGGTTGAGCGCTGGGTTACAAAGCTGCCTGCAGTCTCTGCAGCACTGGTTCAATCCCCGGCCACTGGCGAGGGTCCCACATGGCGCCTGCTGCTCCTGCCGCCCGCTCTCCTGCTGCCCGCTGCTCCCCTCAGCAGTGTACTTTGTCAGTCTGCCTGCTCTGCTCCCCGCTCTGGCTCTGATGAATTCTCTCACCCTCCCGTGCTTCTGACTGTACCCAGTGCTTGTATAAATAAATAAAAAATAAATCTTTAAAAAAAAATTCTATTAAAAGCTACATGTGAGGGCCTCCCTTGTGGCGCAAGGGGTTAAGCACTGCACTATGAAGCAATCCGCAGCCTCTGCAGCACAAGTTCGATCCCTGGCAGGCCAGGGAGCAACCCACATGGTGCAGCAGACCTCTCCTGTCTCCCCGCTGCTCCCCTCAGCAGTGTATTTCGGTTGTCTGCCTGTTCTGTTCCCGGCTCTGTTTCTGGTGAATCCTCTCCTCTGCCCCCACCTCCGCCCTCGCCCCCACCCCTGCATCTCTGGCCTGTATCCCAGCTCTTGTATGCATAAATAAATAAATCTTAAAAAAAAAAAAAAAAGCTACATGTGAAACACACTATGATAAACGAAAGAAATCATTTATAATCTCGGTCTGTGGGATGAATGTTGAGCTCAGCTTTGTTGAGTTCACTGGCAAGTGAGCATACTGATCCAGATCTGTTGCTTAGTTCTCACTCCTCACCTAACTTAATTTCTCCATAGTGTTTGAACCAATTGAGAGCTTTCCCCTTCGTGGGATACTTGACTTCTGAGATATAGACTGCTCCTTCTCAGGCCCCTTTGCTGAATCCTCTTTTCATCAACTTCTACATCTCCACGTGCCCTAGGATTCAGTCTAGGACCTCTTTATTTATACTCTCTCCATAAATGATCTCTTGATTTCAGGCCCATGTTTAAACACCATCTACATGCTGACAACTTCCAAACTTACATTTCTTTTTTTAAAAATATTTTTTTAAAGATTTACTTATTTATGCATACAAGAACTGGGGTACAGGCCAGAGATGCGGGGGGTGAGAGGATTCACCAGAGACAGAGTGGGGAGCAGAACAGGCAGATGTGCTAAATTACACTGCTGAGGGGAGCAGCAGGTGAGACAGGAGAGGTCTGCTGTACCATGTGGGTCACCTCTCTGGCCCGGGATCTAACTCATGCTGCAGTGGCTGCAGATTGCTTCATTGTGCTGTGTCTTAACCCCTGGCACCACCTGGGAGGTCCCAATTTTACATTTCTTGACCTCAGCACTGAATTCCAAACTTGGATAGCAATCTCTCTACATGACACTATGGTATATAAGAAAAACATTAAACATAATTGTACATAGAAACCACTTCATTCACAATAATTCCCTTCTCAATAAACAACTCTGTAAGCCAATCAGCTGGTCAGGTCAAAACTTAGGAATGACCATTTACTCCCTCCCCCTCTTTCATACTTCACTTCCAATCCATCTGGAAATCACACATTACTTTCAAATTATTACCAGTCTGACTACATCTCATCGTCTTCACTGCTACTGCCCTAGTCCACACCACCTGCATCTCTCACCTGGATAAATTAAGCCTCTGAAATGGTCTTCCTGCTTCCAACCTGGCCTCTCACCACATCTAGTTTCCTTATAGAACTCACAAGATGGTTACATTCATTTCAGTTTTGCCCAGTTATCAGTTTTGATCCCCTGCCTGGTATTAGTTGTAGTTCCCTGTGGTTTTACCTGATACCAATTTTGGCATAGTCCAATAAATTCAATAACCTTGAAAAAATGGACAAATTTCTAGAACACTATAGTTTACCAACACTAAACCAAGAAGAAACAGAAGAGTGAATAAGGGTTCACAATTGTGTAAATTGAAACTAACTAAATGTTTAACAAAAGCATTGCTTACATGCTAACAGAAAGCCTTAGTATCATAAATTCAGATTTTATCCTAGCAGTTTACCATCTTACAGTACATAGATTATCTCTAAATAATGAAGAGGCATGATTGCAGAATGCTAATATTTTGAGGAAGACTTATAATTCTGAAATGCAGTCTGCAAACAAATTCAGTCTAGAAGTAACTGACTTCAAGAACACTTTCAATGACACCTCTGAAATAAGATATTTAGGCTCTTCAAAAGGAACTGTTGATAGCAAAAACAAATTGATTAGAAACTCAGAAAAGGAATTTTACTAGTCAAAAAACAAGCTTACTATTTTTGGGGCAGTTGGTGAGTATTACAATACAGTCATTGTCATAGATCACATAAAGGCCTTACTTATTTTTACAATGAACTTTAAGGTCTTGGTTGCTACTTTCTACAAAATCATATGAGTCTGCAAAATTAATAATCTCATTATTTGTTAAGGAAACTCCAAAATATTAATTAAACCCTGAAGACTTAATGACTACTCACAACCAGGGTCATGGGCTAATTATTTTAAATCTTTAAGGTTCCCATGCCAAATCCTAACTCCAGTTCTCTTAGTTAAGTCTTTGAAGTTTCTGTCTCTCTGTTACAAAACAAAAACCTTTCTTGACTCCTAGCTTTATTGGCAATATTTTGAAATAACAATTTTAAAGTGATTTCAGGGCCTCCCTGGTGGCACAAGGGGTTAAGATGCAACCTATGAAGCTAGCTGCAGTCACTGCAGCACGAGTCTGATCCCCGGCCAGGGAGCTACCCACATGGCACAGCAGACCTCTCCTGTCTCACCCGCTGCTCCCCTCAGCAGTGTATTGCAGTCAATCTGCCTGTTCTGTTCCCCACTCTGTCTGTGGTGAATCCTCTCACCCCCCACACCTCTGGCCTATATCTCAGTTCTTGTATACATAAATAAGTAAATCTTTTTTAAAAATAAAAAAAAATTTTATACATTTATACATGTCATTACATCAATATTTGTCCTTCTACACTTGAATGTTGGTTTCTATCAAGCACAGCACTACAATTTTCCACTCCTGTGCTTTCTTCCAAATAAAGAATGTACATATTTGATTTACCTGGTTCACTGCAAAGATGATCTGATCATACACATCACTTTGTGTATACACTGCATATGTATCATCCGTTCGGTCCATATATCCTTTTAGGAACAGGTGTTTGAATGCTATAGTATTCTCTTCCTTGAAAGCTACCACCATCTGGTTACTTAGCCCAAAAAAGACCAACTTGAAAGAAGAAAAAAAAAGAAAAAGTCAGCAAGTCAGCAGATGAAAAAGTAATGAAATGAGTACAGAAAGGTTCAGAGAAGTTAATTTCTTCAAGCCACATCACTTCCATGTACATAGTGAAAACTGAACTCATCTGAACTCATCTAACAGACTAAATCCAAGCGCTATCCATCCTGCCATGCTACAAAACGTGATCCAGGGTGTGACTGGGAAATAGAGAACAGATGGATCTGCCCCATGCTGACCTCCCATTGTGAAGTATACCCTGTACTACACACGTCACCACTCTCCACCTAACTCTATCCCCACTTCTGAATTGTCTCTTTAAGTTAAGTGTCCTACTTATATGTCAATTAGAGGATAGCTTGGTGTTCCAGGTATTTCACATCTATTGAAATTGGTGATCAAAAAACTCCAGAGAATTTCCAAAGATGTTCTTGATTCAAATAAATGAGTACCTCCCACATGCCAGCATTGAACTAGGTACTGAGGATACGAGAAGACAATGTTCCCTTGCCTCAAGGACCTGGTGGCAGACAGGAGTACAGTGGCAGAGAGGGAATTGCTATACTTCAGAGCCAGAGTCAGTAGTGGGAGAAGAGAAGCTTTTATTAGGATGCCTATCACTGTAGACATCTTTCTTTTGCTGATACAGACACAAAATCTCCAACTTCACAGACAGACTACCTTCTTTTTCCCAAGAAGAGGAACTCCATCACTAAGTCATCCTTATTTACTCAATTATAAAGTTGTCTTTATGCAATACTTGCTTGATTGCTCAGGTATAGGAAACATTGCAATTTAGAAGCCCTCAATTCCTTAAAAAAAAAAAACAAAAAAACCTTACCCATATGCTTTTTACATGTTTACTATTGTCAGGCTTACTACCTTAAGAGCATTGGTCAATTTTTCTCTGACCACCCTAGGAAACAGGTTGGATGAGCTCCCTAAAAAGTGTAAGAACATAAATCTTAAAAGGGAATGAAATCTGAGCTTGAATTTTAGTCCTACTCTTCCTGTTTCCTGACTATGACCAGTTATTTTACTAAGTCTCAATGTTCTCATCTGTGAAGTGGAGATACCTTGAACAGCAAGTTTGTTTTTAAAGTCGAACATGATGATGCCTATAAAATGTTTAGCTCAAAACATAACAAATATTCAAGTGCTAGCTATCACTTGAATACCTATCATATTCAACTGATACAATATATGAGTACCTCCCCCTCGCTTACAAAAACAACATAGGTGAATAGTCACTCAAATATGAGTTTCCTTTACAAAACTCCTGTATCAGAAAGTTAGCCAAGAATTCTACCAACTTCATATAATTAAAGAAATCACCTTAGCTTCTAACAATTTAAGCATTTGTTTCCAATAATCATTAGTGATTTCAGAATTTTAAAAAACATTTCTACTTAGATACCAATGTATATTTACTTATGTCATTTTCCCCAAATTAAGAGAAAGTGATAATAACAAACATATCACATCTATTTTCCCATTAAAGTCCACTTTTATTTTTGCCCTTTTACTTTTAACAGAGATAATTACTTTCACCAGCAGAAAAACACATCTTCATAGAGTAAATCACAACTTGTATTTATAAAGGAGCACACAATATGGTTTCCAAAAAAAAAAAATTTAAGTCAAGGACAGCAAAATCAAAGTCTCTTAAAATGAGTCATTCCTTTTTCGATAGCTCCACATTCTTCTACTGCAAGGTTCCCATGATCACTGGGCTGTGAGAATCCAAGTACTTGCCTTAACAGAAACCTTTGAAGTTTACAGAGAGAAAATTCCCAGGAAACCAACTAGGAAGGAGAAGAATCCTCTGGTTGTGCAACATCTAATTTCCATAGCCAATTTAGAAACCTTTAGCTAAATCTCTTGATTGGAAGTCAAACATTAAAATTTTCTTTTCCTGGAAACTAATTAGGATTATGTGACTAAAATGATAACTTAGTGAAAGACAAAAAGGAAAAATGTAAAAAATAAAACCCCGGTCTTCTTTCACAATATTGTAGAGGGAAGAGTTTAAGAACTCCTTATTTACTGTTCTCCATCATACATGTGGTTAAAAGTTAAAACCATTGTCCATAAGTCCTCTTAAAAGAGACTTTTGCCAAACTTATGATCTGAGATGCTTACCTGGATAGTCACCATTGCAATTTTTAGAATCTGTATGGCAAGTTTCCATGGTTTTCTACCTCGAGCCCAGAACTTCTCACAAGGATTCATGAAAAAAAATTTGAGTTTCCGCCTCATTTGGTCTTCTAATAGAAGCTCCTCAGAAGGGGATGTGTGCTGGTTAAAAGTGCAGTGATTTTCACCTTCGCGAGGACTACAGCTAGTTATTACTACCTCAGGATTTGCCATCTCTACAGGAAAGAAAAAAACTGTTTCCATTCTGCAGGAAAAGGCACAAATCTATATTTGCTATTGCAAGAAGTTAAGAGATAGAACAAATCTAATTTCAAATAAGCACCCTTGTTCTGAACTGTACTTCAGAAGTTTTTCTATTTGTTTCAGTTACTAAGTGAATTTTCACTCAATTGAAAGTTACCACATACCAGGGCTGCTCCTATTAGTAATTACTAAGATTACATGTACACACCTAGTTGTAGGGTGGGTAAAAGGTATCAGGCTTTTCTGCCCTCCCGCCATTAGGATAGATGAGGGAACCCTGCGGTCCTGAATGCATGCCTGATAGCAGGTACCTGAAGTGGGTACACCTGGGCTGAGAGACTGGACTTTTAAGGGCGGCGTCACAGGGATGCCAGTAGCAGAAGCCGAGGAGAAGCCGAAATAGAAGCAGAGAGAGAAGCAAGAGAAGCAGAAGCCGAGAGAAGGCCGGAAAGCCCAGATAGTGAGGCGTTGCTAGGGGCTGGGAGGACTACCAGCCTCCCGGCCCCCCAGCACCCCTGCCTGCCATGCCTGGTGAACCCCAATAAAAGACCTGCAAAAAACCACTGAGGACTCTGATTCCTCCTTTTCCCGGTCTGCTGGATCATAGAAAACCTGCTCAGTGGTCCTTCCTGCCCCTACACTATATAGATAGTATTACATAAATGTAGATGTAAGGGCAGGACTGGGCACAAGGCAGATTTTCTGATCCCATGCAGATCGGGTAAAGGAGGAGTCAGAGTCCTCAGTAGTTTTGCAGGTTTTTTATTTGGGGTTCACCAGGCATATGGCAGGCAGGGGTGCTGGCTGGGGGGCTGGGAGGCTGGCAGGCCTCCCAGCCCCCAGCAAGTCCTCACTCTATCTGGGCTCTCTAGCGTTCGTTCTGCTGCTTCTCGGCTTCGGCTGCGGCTGCTGCTGGTGCTGGTGCTGGTGCTGCTGGCGTCCCCCCGTGACGCCGCCCTTAAAAGCACAGTCTTAGCTCAGCTGAATCCCATCTACCTATGCCCACACCCTATTCCAGGTGCCCACCATCAGGCATGCATTCAGGACAAGGATCCATCATCTATCCTGATGGCGGAAGGGCAGAAAAGCCTGATATTTTCTTTACCCTACAGTCCACCCCCTCAGGGTTTTCTGCCATACAGTCTATACATATATACACAATTTTCTAAGCAAACAAACAATGCAGCCATGGCCCACAAAAGCAAATACATCAAATAACAAAATACAACATAACAAAATACAACAGAACACAAATAAGTCCAGGCAGGGCACCAACCAAGTGCAAAAGACAATTATTGGTACCAGCAGATGAGCCACCAAATCTGCTGCCGAAGGCACTGCTCATACGAGGGAGGGGAAATCACACACGGCATCTGCTATAACACACCAGGAGCCGTCAGGCTTCCTGGCCTTCTCTGGCTGTAGTCTCAGCTACAAGGCACACACAGCATCCACCCCCAGGATGCACTAGCTCTGGGATTGGCAATTTCATTCTGTTGGGGGTAATCGCCAACCCTCTGGGTTTCTGTCTGCAGTCGCTCCAACACTCGGCCTTCATGGCCACCCATGCGACTCACAGACCCCTGCTCTCAAGCCAACCCACTGCACAAGCACATGGGTTGGGGATCCAAACTTTGCATTTGGCTTGGGCTCCACCCCAAGCCACATTCCCCACCCGTCCCCCAAGGACGGGCTCCTCAGCTCCTCACCCTCACTCAAGAATGAGCAGGGCATCACCCATAGGTGATTTTACGAGACTCACAGGGCTTCAGCATACCCAGGCTGCTTAACAGCCGCTTTAGGGCTTCTCAACTTAGCATCAGTACCAGCTTTTGCCACCTTAGTTGGCTTTTCTCCTCCACCTGGCCACTGGGCATACACAGGCTGCTTTTGGCCATCTAGGCCCACTGGCCACCCCCAGATTCTCAAAAAAATAAACATAACCTGCTAAGGTCCTCCGCCTTCTGGCGGGATTGTCAGTCCAAAATCATCAGTTCATCAGTCTATCAGTCCATTGGCCTCTCCCTGCTTCAGCAATGGCCTGCTGCCTCAGGGGTCATTGGCTGGTCCTTTCCGGTGTCGTTGGCTGGTCCTATCCGGTGTCGTTGGCTGGTCCTTTCGGGCGTCTCCTTCACGCCAGGTCTCATCCTGTAGTTCGTGGACGTATCCATCTTCTACCGCCATGGCGCCTCCAGCGTCGTCACAGGCAGTCTTTTACTCCTTAGTCCCTCCAGGTCTTTGGAGGGCTCCAATACCCGTCTGCATGGATCTTGCCGACATACGCCAATTGTAAGGGCAGGAATTGGCAGAGTGCAGGTTTTCTGATCCCATGCAGACCGGGTAAAGGAGCAGTCAGAGTCCTCAGTAGTTTTTGCAGGTTTTTTATTTGGGGTTCACCAGGCATATGGCAGGCAGGGGTGCTGGCTGGGGGGCTGGAGGCTGGCAGGCCTCCCAGCCCCCAGCAAGTCCTCACTCTATCTGGGCTCTCTAGCGTTCGTTCTGCTGCTTCTCGGCTTCGGCTGCGGCTGCTGCTGGTGCTGGTGCTGGTGCTGCTGGCGTCCCCCGTGACGCCGCCCTTAAAAGCACAGTCTTAGCTCAGCTGAATCCCATCTACCTATGCCCACACCCTATTCCAGGTGCCCACCATCAGGCATGCATTCAGGACAAGGATCCATCATCTATCCTGATGGCGGAAGGGCAGAAAAGCCTGATATTTTCTTTACCCTACAGTAGACAATAATAGTATATAATAATATATATGACACCTCTGAGACCTTAGGCAAGTCACTCAGCCAGTCTCTTTGAGCCTCAATTCTCTATTATGCAAAATGGGAATAACAATACCCACCCTCATATGATTCTAGTGACCATTAAATTGAAATGCAAATAAAGCCATTCATAGGGTCCAACACTAAACAAGTAGCCCCACTTACCTTACCACCCCAGCAGACAGATCAGCTTCTTAAATAGCCAACAAGTTTCTTAGGAAGCAATGAGAGCCCAGGAAAACCTACTGTTGTACAAAGGGGCATGCAGAGCTCAGTTTAGTCCAAATCCCAATCAGCCACTTCCATATTTGCTTTTTACTGAAAGTGCTTTTATGTAGCACATTTTATATTTCAAAGTATTTCCTACCTATTATTTCCTTTGTTCCTTTGAAAACAAGGGGACATTTTCTCTGTCTTATTAGCCAGCTTTTGCAAAGTGACAAAGAAGTTAATTCAGAATCTGGGACCTATCTTGGATTTTCCCTCAAACTAATATTGATATTATGGAGACCTATTCAAAATAAAATACCATAAGCTATTGGAGAGAGTAGAGTCCATCTACACAGAATAAAAAATTCTGATTCTGTTATTTTTATAACTCCTACTAAGAGATTAAAGTGGGGAGGGAAGGACTCAAACCACAGTCATATAATATCTGACAAGTCATGGTTGAGGTAGCACATTGCTTTCCAAGTCTAGAATCCAACATTTTGTTCTGATTTAAGCGTTCTTAGCAAGCTCAGCAACTCTAAGCAGCAGATACTGGCTTTGAAAACTGTCCAGGGGAAATTTTTTAAAACTCTTGATTAGCAGAAATATTAATAAGAATATGGCTGATCAGAAACATATATGCAATGCCCTCAAAATGAAATTGTGATTGGACTCACAAAAGTATGGCTTATGTGTGTTAAAATGCTGTTAAAATGTGTTATGTCTTTACTCCTTAGGTAAGGACATAAGGGAGAGAAATTATTAATCCCTAGGATTTTCACTCAAGAACATATTTCTTCAAAAAGGTGTGATATTTTAAATATGTTTTACCTCTGGAATTTAAAACAAAGGTGGTGTTATGTTAATCAAAACTAACAAATCAACACAAACATATTGACGGTGTTAATAATGAAGTATGTTGGTGAATTACAGATAAGAGGTAATTAAATTCTTCCTATTCGATACAGGGAAAATTAAACTTTAAACACGCTAGTCACACACTGTGTAACAGTAACCCACAGGAATAAAGAGAAAATGAGCCACCACCATGAATATATTTAGCACAAAGCACCAAATAGTCCCAAAAGCAAGACTTTCATGCAGAACTTGCTACAAATGTTAGAATATCATGTCACAAAAGCCCTTCCAGGTGTGCACATTAAAAACTGCAAATTTTGTTTCACCAAAGTACATAATTATTCCTCACATAAAATTGAAAGAAAGTGTACAGTTCAGGAAGAGGAAATTTGGGGTCTGTTCTAATAATGGAGGAACATTCTAGAACTATGCTAACAAGCCACTTAAGTAACTAGTAGCCATATTAGACAAAAGATGAAATTAATGTTAACAAAATATTTTATGTAACCCAGTATATTTAAAATTATTGAAAGATAGGATCAATAAAAACTCATTAAGGAAGAAAAAAAAAACCTGTCCAGACCCCTAGCCACGGAAGGACAGTTGGCAAACAGTCCTTCACACCCACCCAGGAGGAAGCACTATGCAGGATGTGGGGTCCGTGGAGACACAGGGAAGAATCTGAGGTGTTAAGTCTCATTCTTAGCATCTACAAACCAACACAGAGGTTGCTTATTCATGACGATGGTTAGTTTAATTGGATCGAGCTGCAGAAAATCAGAGAAAGACTGGGGGGGGGGGTTCTATAAATGTAAAAGCCTCATAGCTGACTTCAGAGTAACATTACCTCCATTCTTCAGGAAACCACGAGACACACACCTTGGGTCTCATATTCTTTTTTTTCTATTTTCCTTCGGGGTTGGGTTTTTTTGTTTTGTTTGTTTGTTTGTTTGTTTTTGGTCTGTTTGGGTTTTTTGGCTGGCAAGCTCTCAAACCGACTTTACCAGGCTGGTATTTCATCGGGGCAGAGTGTGGGGGCCACCCCGATTGTCCTGAAGTGCATCCCGCAGTAGCACGTCTTCCTTCCAGGCCAGAGCCTGGTGAGCTCCAGAGACCCCAGCTTCAGCTCTTATTTCCATCAGCCCCCTACACCACTAATAAAGGACAAGCCGCGTCTGGAGAGGCTGTTCGTGCAACTTCAAGACCATCTTCGAGCCCCGGACGGCTCCGAGACGGGCACCCTCCCTAGGTCTTCCCCGACCAGACACTGGACAGCAGGTGGCGACTGGCCCTCGGCTCCCTACTGGAGGCTAAGCGGGAGGCGACCGCCTGGGCTGGGGACACGCGGCAGAGCCTCCCAGCCTCTGAAGCTACGGTCGGGACTCACCCCAAGTGCGGGGCGCGCCGATCTCCCCACCCACAACTCGCTCCTGCCTGCCGGAGGCCCGGGACAGCGTGCGCCACCACTGACCTTGAGTGGGCGGCCGAGCGGGCGCTGTGCCAAACCTCCGCAGCTCGCACCCTGCGCCCACCTGCGTCCCTTCCATGGCGTCGACCCTCCCGCTGCGGGTCTCCGATGGCTGGTGACATCGCTGTCCCTCCCCGAACGCCGTGGGCACGGTTCCCACGACACCTGACACCTCCCAGCGGCGCCGAGCCCTGCTCACCTGCGACGTGGTGCGCGCCGAGGGGTGCGGGCGAGGGAAAACTGGGGTGACCCCTGAGAGCAATGGACCCAGGAGGCCTCAAGTCTTCTCGGCCGCAGGTGGACGCTGCATGTCTGCTTGTAGCTCTGGGAGTCTCTGAAGATCAGTTCAGGGCAGTCCAACCAGCTCCCGAGGTCGCGAGTCGCCGCCCAGGGCATCCTCGCTCCTTCCGGTGCTTTAACTCGTGACCCTCCTCCCCAGGACAGCATCACCTTACACACTCATTCTGGGCCACCTTTCAGGGGAACAGGTGGGGCGAAGGAGGTCGTCTGAATGAGCCCATCGCTGTTCCCGTCCTCTCAGCAGCTTCCCCCACTCCTTCGCATCGCTCCTGTTTCCAGTTTCCATAAACTGAAGCACAAGCCTGCTCCCGGGTTTGTGCCTTGAGGGGCAAATGCTTGGCCTCGGGGATTTAAATGCGCTATGGCCCCGCCTCCTGGTGGGTTTGGTTCATACGTTGTGGAGGGTGAAGGAGAGTTTGGATGGAAAGTGCTGGGGTGCGTGTGCTTGCACAGTCCCCACCAGCAGTCTAAGTCTTGTTACCCATCTACGCTTTCCGTTTTCCAAGAATTGCTCTGAAATTAGTGGACTGTTGACCAGACTCCTCTAGACTGGGTGCTGGGACCCAAAGAGCGCTGGAAAACTCTTACAAGAAATGTGAAATACTTGAGATAGTGACAAAGATTCTTTGCTTGGTCAAACTTTGGTCGGGCTCCTACCTCCGTGCACTTCCTTATAAAATCCTGTTTTAGTCATAACCCTAAATCAGTTTAACCAGAACCTAACCCTAGTCCCAAAATCTGACCATCCTCAATACTTGATTAGGTTTCTTCTCCCCTACCATCCCCCAGGTTATATTGCCCTGGCCTGTTTTCAGCTAGAATCCTGTTAGGTGGGTTTAGCCTGACCACCTACCCCTGTTGTTTTCTCTTAGTAACTTTTTACCCACAGCCCAGGGTTTTAAATTCCCAGAGGGTGGTGTATTTGAAGTTAAGCCTCATAGCTCTCCCAATGTAAAATTCCCTATAAGTAAGTTCTGTATTATCATCTTTAACAAATATCATTGAATTGTTTTAAAGAGTAGACTTCCAGCCGTAACCTCCTTCTTCAAAATTTTTTAAAATGAAACCCTAAGGTATTCCTTATCAGGCATGGGTCAGGAAACTTGGTTTTAATTACAGCCACTTTCGATTGTTTTGGTAGTTTTTTTTTTGTTGTTGTTGTTTTTTTGGCCACAGTTAAGTTTGTAAAGGTCACTAAATTTTCATAACAGGTAGTATGGCAAATTATACCTAGAAAATGTCAGATATAATAGGAAATCTTGTTTAAGTCCAAAGTCAGTTGCATGGATAATAATAAATAGAAATAGCTTTTCTTGCACTGGGGTATAAGAATTGAATCCCAAAAGGCAGATACTCAAAAGCTGGCTTGGCACATTTAATTCTCAAATGCAATTTGGAAAATATAAGTAAATTTCTAACACCTGTATATATCTATATAACACTATCTCCTTATGATAACAATGAAGTCATCATGGACAGTGAACATTTGAAATGCATGATTATTCAGGAACAATGTGAATTTTGAAAAGGTTTGCAACATAAATGGTGACCCTCACTTAACCCCAGCTGGAACTGAATCAAGTAGACTGGTGAATGGAAAAAACAGGATTTGGAGTTCTAAGGGAGTCCACATTCCCTCCTGTACTACTTGCTGGTTGCCTTCTGGGAATTACTTAACCTCTCCCTCTCCTCTGCACCTATTCCTACCTGTGTATAATCAGTCTAATAAAAGGAATGATGACCTTTAATTAATATAATAGAATGCATGTAAATTCCCCTAGCATTTCTTGCTCAGCTACTGCACTGGCTCTCTAGAGACAGCTACTGCTCATTGCCTGCAGACCACCTGTAGGGACCACATAGAGGGGAAGAGAAGGGGGGTGGCTCTGTCCTTTTTAGACCCCATGTGACCCAAGCCATTCTGTGCAGAAGTTATAAAAAAGCTTTTCTCCTTACTTTGGTGTCGACATATTCCAATTTCTTGTTGAAGTTTTAGACCATATTTTCTAGACTTGTCACAATTGTCCCTCTCCTTCAAAAGGTAAAGCTTTATTCCCAGGTCAGACTTTTCGTTTTCTCATTTCTGACTCTTTTGGGGTACTGCTTAGTTCTTTCTGCAAAATAGCTTGTGATATTTTCCCCAAGCACTTTGAAAACAAGTCAGAATTCCAGCAGTTTAGAACTCAGACAAGGACACTTCCTTTCCACCCACCTCCTCCCTCCCAGGCATTCTGATACATACAAACAAAAGGAATAAAGACTCCTATTCAGGGTCTCCATCTGCTGGTTTCTGGAGGTCTTTTTTTTTTTTTTTTAATTCTCAAAAAGGGGTGGGAGAATCATGCACTAAAAACCACCTCATATATAATTCATTAGATTACCCTTCTGTATATCCAATTTGAAACTTCTCAAAATGTCTTTAAATAATCAGAGAAGTATTTTCAGCTACAACTTCTAACTTTCTTGGTGTTGTAACATGTGACTCATCCCTCCAAATGGACATGCCCTTGGGGGAATCTCTAAAGAATGGATGGCAGAGAGGCTTGGTGTCTCACTGAAATCACAAGTTTCTAATCTTTACTTCTTTAAATGCAGCTGCAAAGTATTATGAATTTTTTTGCAAGAAAAGGAAATTCTTTGGAAGAATACAAAGAAGCTTTTGTTAGAGAACATCCTCTATCAAAAGATTAGCTTTCACGAATAACCTGTCAATTAAATAATCCAAATATATTTTATTAAATATCCATGTAAAATACTGTGTAAACCAATAGTGATATAAAGGAATGAGACACCATTCCCACTTAAATTTCAGTAGGAGAGACATTGTATAAATAAGCCATTGCAGGGCCTCCCTGGTGGCGCAGGGGTTAAAGACAAGTGCTATCAGGCTATTGCCAGCCACTGCAGCATGATTTATATCCCTCACCAGCTAGGGAGCTAGCCCACATGGCACAGCAGACCTTTCCTGTCTCACCCGCTGCTCCCCTAAGCAGTGTATTTCAGTAGATCTGTTTGTTCTGGTCCCCACTCTGTCTCTGGTGAATCCTCTCACCCCTCCTCCCCCGCATCTCTGGCCTACACCCCAGTTCTTGTATGCATAAATAAATAAATCTTTAAAAAAATAAAAACAAACCACTGAAATATAATGTGATGCTTAATATAGAAAATCAGAAAAGAATGATTATTTTGTTGGGTGCCTGGATGACTTTAGAGAGAAGGTGATATATGAGGTGGTTAATGAAAAATAAATAGGAGTTTACCAAATAATGAAGACCAAGAAAAGCATTGCAATTTGAGGCAGAGGTAGAAGTAGAGGCAGCAGGGTGAAGAGAGGTGAAGTTGTGAAAGTGCGCATGGCATTCTGGGACAACAGTCAAGAGTTCTGCATAACCAGAGAACTCTCTGGTTGTCCTTCCTGAGTCTGTGCAGCAATGTGCCAGGGATTGTGGAAAACCACAGAATAAGCATGGCACAATTTCCTGGGGCTTCCTTGAGTTTATTCAATTGCATGTCAAATCTAGCTAATAATGATATAAAACAAGTTTTCCAGTTTCATTGAGATATAATTGATATATATGCTCATAGAAAGATTTCAGACACTTAAAAATGAAAATAGCATGAACACATTGTGGAACAGAATGCAAAAATTTTATGAGATTTTTTAATGAAATAAATCTTACTTGCAGAAGTCTATTTCAAATAATAACCACAGTGGTCAATCTATTACTAATCCATAACACCCCTACAATTTCAGGCTCCCCTGCTCTTACCGGCTTCAGTTGAGAAGCACTAGAGTAGAAGGTGGGTTTAGCCAGGCAGAGAGGCAGGAGGTTAGGAATACAACCTATTATCTTCCAGAATTCTGCTTATACAAGGTTTCATATGCTAGACTATGAATATCTAAGCAGGGTGATGGCAGCATTCAATCTCTTTTTTAGAATGCTGTTACAACTTGACAAATTAGAGAAGAGACAACAGATCAAGTCAAAAGACTTACTACCCTCTAGGTAAGAGATGGTGCCCACCTGTATAAGGCGGAGACATGAAGATGGCTCAAAAGAGATAGATTATTGGAGAGATCTTTAGGAAAAGAAAATAACAGGACTTAGTGCTATGTTGGCTGTGGAGTCAGGGATGACAGATTTCTAGCTTTGCAAACTGATAGACAGTGGTTTTTTAACTATGGTAGAAAATAAAGGAGGAAAAAAGTCTGTAAAGACAAAGAGCTGATTTGAAAGCTCTGCTAAGTTGTGATGACTATGGTTCAGCCATTAATTCATTTACTTATTCATTATTATTTTCATCTGGCAACTATTAAACACTAAACTAGAAATGTATTTGGAAATTTCCAGGAGGTAATGGAAATTCAGGTGTAGAGCTTAAGAGAAGTATAAGACTGAGAGTATAGAAATGGAAGTTCACTGCTGTTTTTGGAGGGATTCATGGAGAATAAAGGAATCAATATAATGCCACCAGGAGAAAACCGAGAAAAGAAGTCTAAGGACTGCGCCCCAGGAAAACAATTCTCTCAGTGTCAGTGTCAGCAAAAGAACCTGAGATAAGGTTGTCGGAAGGATAAATGCTCCTCCTAGTTTTTAAAAAATGATTTATTTAGTAAAATTTACTTGCATTTTGCAGACACAAATTATTCAGAAATTGGAAAGAATCTATTTGACCTTCCTCCACATCATCTCATATAGGATCATTAAGTCTCTAACATGTTATGAATCTACAAGTCTCATCTCAATTAAATATTAAATAGGGTGTAAAAATTAATTTAGACAATTACAGCAGTCAATTGCACTGCTTTATTAAATGCTGCGGGCTTACAAATTGAGATGTTACAATTATTTTTAAAGTAAAGAAGGAAAACAGTGCTCATAGAAATTAAATTCACCGTATGAGTCCCACAGGACTCATAATCACAGATAAAATAAGCCTTGGAATTACTCTGAGATTTCATCTTTGTCCGCAGAGATTCATACTTTCGGTTTGGAAAATGAACACATTAGAAGTTCTAGGACATCCGGTTGAACCCGAGTTTCTCTCTTTCACAGATGAATCTAGGGTAACTCCTGGCAGGGCCCCAGCTGCAACTCCGGTAAGGAGGGTAGCTGCCCCAAGGGGTTCAAGTCCTCAATCTTCACTTCACCCTTTGTTGCAAACGACCACACTCTAGACGAATTGTCTTGAGTACCGTTACACTAGGTGTGTGGGTTTGGACCGAGTCAGAGCTGGAGTCAGCATGGACCACTGCCTGCAACACACTTAAACTGCTTAAGTTGTCCCTTCCTAGCTGAAGACTGAGGACCTCACTCCGGTTCCTGTTGCATGACGTCAACGTCATGT